TGAGCATTGCAGCTCATACAATCCAGTGGCTACTTTGATTTACCTATTTACTAGTTTTTTCTTATGCGCGGGACCAAGCGACTCTGGTCTGGCAATCCCACCTGCGAAACCGCGAACGCGGTCTGCCTATGTCACCGTTGGTCTGGTCATTTTGGTCATATATTCTCGCTGTCCGTACGTTGTCCGCCAGCCTAAAAAATACTACTTCCAACTCTGACCCAGCTACCGGTATATCCTTTCTATTTGTCACGCCTGAAGACCACTTTTAATCCATATAAACCTGGATTTTCCACAAGTACTTTGTTAGTCCCAACAGTACTTCATTAGTCCTTACACGCGCACGTGAATTCCCAACACACTCCTTCAAGCGATGGATCGTGCATGTGATTCATTCGCTGTCTGTCCGTCTGTTGTCGGCCCTTACTCAATTGTTTTTTTTTTTTTACTCACTCCTTTGAGCCCCTATTCTCCAGGGATTTGAACCCTTGACCTCAGCCTTGTCTCTTATCTTGAGACCTCCTATCTTTTGCAGACTATCTACTACAGCTAGGTACTGAAAGTCAGTATATCACACCATGTTGGCTTAAACAGCCAGTCTGGTCCTCAAAAATGTGACAAGCTGAGAGATACAGAAGAGAGAAATCAAGATTTGTACAGGCATACCTACAAAGGAAGAATCCGCCTGTGCCAAACGTTTTGAGACACAGGCGTGCGATGAGAAGAAAAGCACAAATGAAAAGACTCCGGTTTGTTGCAAAACATTTGTTTTTGACCAAACGCGCGCATCTGGATATGCATCCGACGGTGGCAATTTTGGCATCACGAGTTCAAAATCCAAATCAGAGTGATTGGCATAAACTCGTGAGACTTATGAGATACATGCACTCTACCAAGAAATGGCATCTCACGCTGAGCGCTGACAACCTTCATGTAATGAAGTGGTATGTCGATGCGTCTTTTGCAGTTCACCCTGACTTTCAGAGTCACACAGGAGGAGTGATGACCATGGGTGGTGGAGCTATGCAGGCTATGTCCAAGAAACAGAAGCTAAACAGCCGCAGCAGTACACATGCGGAACTAATCAGAGTAGATGATGCAATCACACAAGTGTTGTGGACACGCATGTTCATGGAAGAACAGGGTTATCCGATTGAGAAGAATATATTGTACCAAGACAATATGAGGCCTATTCTCCTCAAAAAGAACGGGAGATCAAGTGCAGGAAAGAGAAGCCGCACATTGAACATCCGTTATTTCTTTGTCACTGATCAGGTTGAGAAAGGAAATCTTACGATCGAACACATGCCGAACAATGACATGTGGGGGGATTATATGACGAAACCTTTGCAAGGGGAAAAGTTCCCCAAATTTTGGGCATTGATCCAAGGGGATCAGGAAGATTAGATATGACCGTCTTGGGTTATATATACATGTTACATATTGAATGAAGAAAGGATTTGTTATCGCAACCGGAGTCGTCAAAATGACAGGAGTGTGTTGGTGAAATGGGATCTTAATAGATAAAAGAACAGTCGAACATGCCGGACAGTGAAGTCGGACATTTGTGATATCGAACACGGAAAGGAGTTTGGTTCGAGTGTTGGGATATGTTCCAAAAAGAAACTATTCAAGTACAAAGTTTTTGACACGTACGATTGAACTTTGATCGTGATGTCGGGATTTGACGCAAGTATGCCGGACGCAAGTCTGTCGGACAATCTACATCCACACAAAAAGGGAATGACCCTATACAAGTGAGATATTGATGTTGTGTACAATGTAGTAGGGAATAATACAAGATGTCCCAAAGTACTGCATTCAACACAGAATTGTCGTAGAGGTCGAATCAAGTTCTGTAAACAAGGGATTTTCCAAAGGAAAATTGTTGAACTTACTTTTGTGATCGAATCATCAATTCAAGCCAAATATTAATCAAATAGGAACAATTTCACTCAAAGTATACCTAGACACAGGAGAACTATTGTCATGAAAGTGTTGTACAGTCAAATATGAATTTAGATTGCAGAGAGTTTGTTCTGAGCGCTAAAGGCACTCACAATAGAGCACATTTTGCTTTATTCTAACATTCAATCACAAAAGGCAACAAAACAAATTTACGTCAAGAACAGCACTGCCTTATCTACAAAGGAGTGAGTGATTCGTTGACAATGGGACGTTCTTCATCCGGTGGTGGAAGAGGACGTGTGACTCCTCAGAAAGTCAAGAGCAACTCGAGTTCAACAGTTGTGAAACATCTATTTTCAACGAAAGATGAAAACGATGGAAAGGCAAGATCGTCGTACAAAGATGCCGAGGAAAGAGTGATTGACTACATCCAAGCTTCTGGAATGAAATGTTCAGAAGACATGGTGAAATCAATTTGAGATGGAAAGTCGATCGACTTCAATGCGATCGCTCCAAGATTGAACGCTCCAACTCAAACTGAAGCTGTTGCAAGAGAAACAGAGATGGCCCAAAACAAGATTCTCTATTCTGCAAAGCTCGACGAGAACATGCAAAGATCAGCCTACTTTGAGACAAACAAGAGAACCGTCAAATCAAATATCATGCTGAAGTTTGTGACGAAGGCAATGGATATCAAGCGATTTCACGACTACTCTTGAAGATCCGATCAGACTCTTGAAATGTATTGAACAATTCATGAAGAAGAGTGCTGATGCTGAGTATATTCTTGGATTTCTGGGAAGCAAATCAAAAGTTCTTTGCTATGAAGCAAGGAACAACAGAAAACTTGATGCATTTCAAGGAATGATTCTTGAGACAGGCTGAAGTCCTGCAAGATCTATATGGCGTGGCCTGGTTCCGAAGTTTTGCAGTCAAAACGAAAGCGTATGCTGCTATTGCTAGCACCGATACTGCTGCTCAAAACAAGTTCAAGGATGATATCTTTGAAGCTGTTCTTGCAACAGGATTTCTGTGCAACTGCGATCAAACGAGAACAGCTCCTCTGATGCTGGAACAGCTCCTCTGATGCTGGATCTTCAGACAAACTATTGCAGAGAAGTGGATTATTATCCAAAGACGGTCAGCAAAGCACAAGATACGTTGAAGATTCACATGGATGTGATTAAAAACCCGGAAGTGAACCTCTACCAAGGAAAAGACCAACCTAATAAAGGTAAAGGTAAAGGAAAAGGAAAGGGGGAAACCGAAGGATGGAAAGAAGGCAGCATGTTTTGTGTGTGGCAACAAAGACCATATGTCTCCAAAATGCCCAGACAGACTGCTACTAAAGATCCAATAGAAGAATCAGGATCAATATGTTGACTATGGGAAGAAGCTCAATCTTAATCAGATTGGAGCAACTGTCCCAGCTACTGTTCCAGCTATAGTTCCTGGAGCTTCAGCATCCACAAGTGGAGCATCAAGTGTTGCGGGAAGCGTTAACACACCTTTGCGACTTGCTGGTACTACAGGTAATCAAATGATGCAAGTTCCTTCTGGAATGCAGCTCATGCAGATTCCAACTCAAGGTGGCGGCACTGTTACTGTCCCTTATTCTATGAATGCTAACGGTGAGATTGCGTTCAGTGGAATGCAACTCAGCCGACAAGGCTTCAGTGGTGCTCAAGTGCGCCAAGGATTCGATGCGACTCAAGCTCAAACTCTGCAAGCTGTGAAAAATGGATATTTTGATATGTCAAATGTCTTTCACGATGCTATCAAGGGAAAGGATGAGAATGGCAATGATGTCTATCTTATTCCGTGTCCTGCTGGTACGACAAATGTCAAACTTCAAGCCAACTGGCGCTATGCTAGTGAAGATGAAGATTTGCCTGATCTTGCTACTGAAGCAGATCGAGGTCTGCAGTTTATTCAAAGCCGCAGAAAGGAATAGATCCATTTGGGTTGTACAATCATGTCATCATGGACAGTGGTTGTACAAACACCACCATTTGTAATGGTGAGTTCATGCATGGACTCCGTCATGCTGAGATAGAACTTGATATGCACACTAACGTGGGCAGCAGAGTTCTCGACAAAGAAGGTTTTCTAGGAAGATTTTCACCTCCAGTTTATCACGATGAATATATAACTGATGCATTAATTGTATGAAAATTATCTCAAGTTTCTAGATTGCCGTTAACGGCTGTCATGGCCATTTACCATATGGAGGTGAGTCCAGTACTGTTGATCCAGTGTGAGGCATCCAATCCCAGGGAAGTTGCTCTCATTGGATATTACATTGCACCCTTGCACATGTAGAAACGACCTTGCCACTTTGGGCGGCGTATTTTTATTTTGTTTTTTGAGTTTTTTGAATGTGATGGTGGGCATGATTGTGTAGCAGGTGGGAAGCCAATTGTTCTTGCGCCCTACTGCTGTGGGTGTATCGATCCAAGTGAATGGAGAGCGTCCCAATGGCACAGTGTTCCAGAACAAGGTGGCGACCATCTACGTGACAGACTGCAGTTCCCTAGTCCTGTGGTCGACAGAGGGAGAGTGAAACATAGAGGGACAGAGAGATGGCCGAGACATCTGACTGTTTATGGACTAGCGCCGGTTGGCCGAGTCGATGTTGGGTTGGCGGGTCGCGCCAGGTCAAAGATCATCTGGCGTTGCCTGGCTAGAGAGCGACGGTTGATCGCTCTCTCACGGGAGACAAGGCGCAGCCAATGTTGGCGATCTTTGAGTGATTTGTTGAGGACAGTTTCGCGGGAGTCCCAAAAGAGGTACTGCGAGCGCTGGGGGATATCCATCAGGCCCATGGCAAACTGTTCGCGGATGCCAATGTCAATCTCCCGCTTGCGGGCCGTGTACCAGGAGCTGTCTTCAGAGTGGGCAAGCCGGTTGCGGTCTTTCCACATGTAGTGCCCGATCCTGATCAGTTGTTGGATCAGGCGATCTTCGAGTGATTTGTTGAGGACAGTTTCGCGGGAGTCCCGAAAGAGGTACCGCGAGCGTGGGAGGATATCCATCAGGCCCATGGCGAACTGTTCGCGCATGCCGATGTCAATCTCCCGCTTGCGAGCTAATCTCCCGCTTGCGAGCTGTGTACCAGGAGCTGTCTTCAGAGTGGGCAAGCCGGTTGCGGTCTTTCCACATGTAGTGCCCGATCCAGATCAGTTGTTGGATCAGGCGGGAGGCCCAAAGGTTGGCGGACTTTCTGGAGCCAATGTAGGAGAAGTGAAGGGCCTTGAACCGATAAGTATTACTTAACAAGTTCCACGATCATCTACAGAGAATTTTGAATTTTCACGACCATCTACAGAGATCTTTTTGTCTTCACGATCATCTACAGGGAATTTTCAATTAATGCGCCACCACCGTCTATATAATAAAAGTCTGTAGATGATCGTGAAGATTCAAAGTTCTCTGTAGATGGTCGTGAAACTTCAAAAGTCTCTGTAGATAATCGTGGAATTGAACCGATAAGTATTACTTAACAAGTTCCACCATCATCTACAGAGAATTTTGAATTTTCACGACCATCTACAGAGATCTTTTTGTCTTCACGATCATCTACAGGGAATTTTCAATTAACGCGCCACCACCTTCTATATAATAAAAGTCTGTAGATGATCGTGAAGAAAGAAAGTTCTCTGTAGCTGGTTCATCTACAGAGAACTTTGAATGTTCACGATCATCCACTGATATTTTTCAATTAACACGTGTCGTGGCTCACATTAGTCCACTAGTCCAACTAGTCGAATCATATCAGTCGAATGAACATCGATTACTCTGATATGAGTACTTCTACAAACGCCCCCTTACTCAGCATGCCCACAGTAGTCTTGTCAAAAGCAATCTTGCCAAATGTCTAGTACATCTATTACCTATGCTACGAGCCAACAGTGATGTGGCAATGAGGTGGCGACAGTCTGACGAATACATCTTATCAAGACTGCAGTAGAAGTTGTGTGTCTCCAGTACACACCTTCTCTTCTGATGTCAGTATGGCTATTGCGTTCTGCCCAGGGAAGCAGATCTCCATTAAGCTCATAATATCTCTTTAGCAATCTTTCAATCGCTACTGTGCCTAAGTTAGTCCTCAGCCTTTTGTGGGACACGGCATTTTTGATCAAAAAGTCCGATTCAATTTCAAGCACAACATCATGTCCGACCATCACGTCTTCCCTATGCAATACCACCCATCAAAGGAGAAAACCTCAGAGTCAAGGTGGATATCGACCACTCAACTTTTTCCGTCTACCTCAAGAAGTTGGACATCACCCAGATGTCCTTACACAAGTGTGTGGACTTCGCACAGACTCTCCTCGACGATGTGACTCTCGAAGTCGGCCGGAACGATGACGAGCTCCTCGGTAGAGCCCTCAACAAGTTTTGGTCAAAGGCTCTCCCTCCTCTCGAACGACAAGTTTGGGAAGCGCTCCCAAACTACATGGACATGGACGAGGAATCCGTTGAGAACTGGAAAAACAAAGTCCGCGACTGGATCCTGACCAAATGTACTGAAGAAGACGCGGCTGCAGTTTTAAATCAGCTCCGTACCTGGAGAAAGCCAAGATCGGCGACAATCATGGACAATCAGATGTACATGAAGAAGGTAAACTCCGCAATCCCTTACATGTCTGAATCTCTTGACCCTCTTGACAAAGAAGAATTCAAGAGAGTTTTCTTCAATAAGGACGCCTTCCTGGAGATCAACGGTACCATCGACAACCATTCCGTTGCCAGCATCACTTCTTACATGCAACGCAAGGCTCGACAAGCACACGACAAGGAATTGAAGAATCAACTCCACCAGAAAATTGAATCCAAAAAGAAGAAACGTACGGCTGGTGTCCATCACAGGGACGATTCGAAACCTTTCAAGAAATCTCATACCGACCCAGAGGAAACCAAGATGGACAAAGACGAGTACCACAAGCGCGTGGCGGAACTTGCAAAGACAGCCAAGCCGACCAAAATTTGCTTGCTCAAGCCCAATCATAAGAATCACACTATCTCCGAGTGCAAGGCAATCAACAACTACAAGGCCCGAATGAGCAACAAGAAGTCCAACAGCTTTGCTGTCATCAATCTCCCTGGAGATAAGCCGGATGATGATTCGACCACCTCTAAAGAGACCGACTCATCCAACAAGAATGGTGCGTTCTACATGAACAATGAATCTTACTATGTCCCAACTTTCTCTCACCACATTGATTTCTGTCGCTTCGACAGCCTGAACAACATCGTTGATTCAAACGTTCTAGACGATCTTAGGTTATCATATATGTCAAACGTAAAAGACGCCTACGAAAACGGTGCAGAAGTCCCCGAGACTATCAGTGAGAAAGTAGACATTAGTAAAGAATTAAACTTATTGCTTAGACCAGAATCTGTTTCTGTTATAAAGATGATGCAAAAAACTCGTGTCAACAAACTTGCACGTGTGTTGTTTGATCCTGGATCAGATGAATCTTACATCCATCGTAGAATTTTGCCCACTGGAATCAATGGAAAAACCGTGAAGAAACAAATTGGAACGATAAGCGGCAAACAATCTTTGACCACGCAAGTCATAAACATTAAGGGAATCGTTTTCCCTGGAACACCTGGCAAATGTTCAGACCGAGTATTTTCGGGACACTGAGCGCAAAGTTTGACGTGCTCGTGCCCGGAGATATAAAATTATATTTTTAGCTTCGAAAAATCTATATTATTTCCGTTTAACTATTAATGACATATTATTATGTGATGATTTATCAAATAGGGACTTAGGGACACAGATGACCGATTGGTCATTGTGACTTTTTCTGAGTTATAACTCAGATCACAACGGAATCCTGAGTTATAACTCACGGCGTTGAGTTATAACTCAAACGTGTGAGTACGTCTGAGTTATAAC